TGTGTGTGTGTGTGTGTGTGTGTGTGTGTGTGTGTGTGTGTGTGTGTAGATATATGAATATTTGTGTGTTGGCATGTGGAGGTCAGAGGTCAGAGTTCGGTGTCATTTCTCAGTTGCCCCTAACCTCGTTCTCTTGAGACAAGGTCTGTCACAGAGACCTAGAGCTTTTGGACCGGCAGGCCACTGACCCTGGGGACCCGCCTGTCTCAGCCACTCCAGTGCTGGGACTAGAAGAGCACACTCTGTCTCTGTTGTTTATGTGGGTGCTGGTCCCCCACTCAGGTCCTCACGCTGGTATGGCACGTCTTACAAACTTAGCCATTCCCCAGCTCCAGGTTGGTCAGTTTCTACAGTGTCCTCCACACCACATGGAATTACTGGATAGTGAGGCATGCTATGACATGTGACCCCAAAACACACACACACACACACACACACACACACACACACACACACACACACACTTGTGACAGATGAATATATGTAAAAATATTTAAAACATTAACAATCCTCCTACTTGGACTTTTTAGCACAAGTCTGAGATCTCAGTTATTCCCAGGATTAAGGCAGGAGGGTCACAAGTTCAAGGCTAACCCGGGCAACTTAGTGAACCCTGCCCCAAAGTAAAGAGGAGTCTGGGGCTGTAGCTTCATGGCAGATACTTGCCCAGCATGCATGAGGTCATAATTCCAACCCAAGTGCTTTAATCTGCCCAGTGTGAACTCTGAATTCTTAGTATCAAGTCAAAGCTATCGGCCAAGCATTTATAACTAATAATTAGTCTCTGTGTTGGTTACTGGGGAGCCAGTGATCCCACAAAAAAACTCCATCTACACCCAGCCTCTGCTTTGAGCTTCTCCCTTGAGGACTGGGCTGTGGGTAACCACAGGGACCCTCGCCTGAACTTCTGGAGGCTCCACTGAATCAGAAATGGTTCAGGGACTGACCTGGAAATGCCCCCTGCAGGACTAGACCATGACTAACCTTCAGTTCCCTTTAGCTTGTCAGAGATTTCCCTAGCTGAAGAAGTACAGATTCCACTGTCCAATCAAGAGCTGGCGTTCTGCCACATCATCAGTTACCAGGGAAGGCTGCTCCTGGAGATGGTCCTAACACCACAGCCTTCTCCAGCTACAGGAAATGTGAGAGACAGGGGCGACTCCACCTGAAGCAGACGCAGTTAAATCATTTTTGACATCTACACCACAGAGCTGTGGGGGCAGTAAGTGCCAGGTTAAAGGTCATCTTCCTTCATCTCCTTTGATCTCACAAGCTTCAAACACACAGTTGTCCCATCAGCCCTGTGTAGGAGAGGTGAACGCTCCCCAGGTGCTCAGACTGGTGAGTGAATGACAGACCATCGCAGAGCTGGCTCAGCACTGTGGCCGGATGAAAGTGATTCAGCTGCGACTGGATCAAGATTTAAAATACTAAAGAAAATGGTCCTTTTAAAAACAATGTTTATTCTTTGAAAAAGTTACACGTGTCTACAATGTATTTTGATCCTAATTCACCACCCACTACCTCCTTCCAGCTTCCCCGGGACCCTCCAACATGCTTCCCTCCCAACTTCATTTTCTCTTTAAAAAAATGAACAGTCCACTGAGTCCAGTTAGCACTGTCCACATGCACATGGGTGTGGGGCCATGCACGAGGGGACATGAACTACCAACCAACAGCCACCCTGCCCTCACAAAACAACTACCCCTTCATTTGTTAGGTTCTTGGTTTGTTTGAGACAGGCTCTTACTATGTAGACCAGGATAGCCTCTAACTCACAGAGACCCAGCTGCCTCTGCCTCCCAAGTGCTGGGGTTGGAGGCTTGGACCACCAAACCAGGCTGAGTGTCCTTTTAATGAAGAGAATAGCAAGTTTCAGAAGGGGACCTTCTTACTGAACCTCTAACCAGCAACTGATGATGCTGGTCTCCTCTGCTGCTGATTGGCTACTCACACTGACTTTACCTAATTAGCACCAGAGCAGTGAATTCCCCTGGCTCTTACTATCCTGGCAATGAGTAAAGAGAGGACATAGTTTCTACAGAGTGAACTTGTCTGCTCCTGTTATTTGGGTCTCTCATCTCCTCCAGCATGATTCGACTGTGGCTCCCCGGAGGCTCCTGTGTGGCAGCTGTGGTCCTGACACTGATGGTGCTGAGTCCTCCCGTGGCGTTGGTCAGGGACCCCCGACGTAAGTGCACACCTCAGGGGCTGAGCTGCTGGGGGTGGGGGAGGAAGGGGACGACTTCTCATTGTCCAGGTCAAGTCACTTGAATCTGCTGATATTTTCTGTGACCACCCACAGTCCTCACATGAAATCCAAACTGTTTTCCCAAATAGGAGGCTGGCTGCTGTTCTCTGAGATCTGTGTGAGCCCCCCCCCCCATGTCAGCCATTGCTCTTCAGTTTCTTCCAGTAACATCTCCAGCCTTGTGACATATTCCCTCAGGGCCTCGGGAGGATTGATAATCATGATGTTAAATTAACCTCTTGCACAGGGCTTGTGCTGCGCTTTGCCAGACAACGAGGTTTCTCTTTAAAAACAGAACTGCACATGTGTATTTTATTCTATTTTGTATGTGTGTTTCTGTTGTTTTAACTACAAAAACAGTCAAATTTTGAAGTAATCAAAAGCTTTCTCTGAAAGCATCATGAAGTCACGGGAACAGGGTGGGCATCCCAGGGAGAATCCATGTGCGTCCTCTGCAGGCTGTGAGGCCGCTGCCTGGGCACCTGGGCCGCTGAGCCCAGGGCTCTGACTTTCTCTCTCCCTGTGTCTGTGCAGCCTGTTCCGGTGTGGGAGCTCCGTGGGGTGGTGGGTGAGCTCCCTTTCTCCTTGGGAGCACACAGCAGCTGAGGCAGCCTTAGAGAGGATGGGCTGTGAGCTGTTTCCAAGTGTGTGCGGCCTCTTCTGAGAGCCTGGGGTGGGTTAGAACCAATTTTGGTTTTGTTTCACACACCTGTACTTAATTTTTTTCCTTCATTCTCTGGCTGGGACCATGGAAGAGGATTGAATCTCATCACCCCTCCCCTCAGGTCAGATCTGGCAAATGAATTTGGCATTGAATTTTAAAAAGATCTGGTTTGTGAATTCTCTGGTTCTGTCATTCAGATAAGAGACTGTGGGTCAGTGTTAGGATCATAGTTTTAATTTCTGGAAACCAAAAGTCTATAGGAAAAACCCAAAATCTACACCATGCACAGAATTGAAGTCTGGGATCTGCATGTGGGATACAAAAGACAGGGTTATTAGCTCTGCTGAAAGCTGTGATCCTGAAATTCCGGAGCCATCTAACCCCTCTGCGCTTTAACTGATGTAAAATGGGAAGAGATGGTCTTTTTCATAGAGCTGTTTAGGGATTGGGAGGGATGGTCCTGTAGAGCACTGGGGCCTGCTGCCACACTGTGTGCTTCCTCTCTATGTTATCATCTCACTCATCAAAGGACACACAGAAGCTTCCAGACTGCCTCTCACCTCATTGTCACACTCCACAGACCAGGCTCCTGCCCTTGCATCATCGTCCTTCTCACAAACTATTCTGATGGCTTCCAAAACTGTTGTTTTTTTTCTCTATTTTGTCTTTTTACATAAATCAAACCCATTCTTACTATCATCAGTGATGTCTCAAAACACAGAGATCAGTGATTCCATCTCTGAAACCCTCAGCAGCCTCTCTCTTAAAGTCATGAGTAGTGATGACTGACACAAATATTTTCCCACGAAATGCACCAAACTTGTTCATCTTCCAGTGCATTCAGTGAGATGATAATGTCTGGTGCTCGCATGGACTTGAGTTACTGTTAACAGATCTCCTGTTCATTGTCTGAGTTAGATTAAACATGAAAATGAGAAACTGTGTATCTGGTCTCACCCCATCTCTATAGAAACTACAGAAGCTCACATGACTGACTGACACCCTCTCCTGTCCCTGGGATCACATTGGGCATCTGATTTTAAAAAGATCTGGTTTGTGAATTCTCTGGTTCTGTCATTCAGATAAGAGACTGTGGGTCAGGTTTATGACAGTGGTTTTCATTTCTGGAAACTTGTTCAGTAGTTTTTTTTATGAGTAACAATCTAAAACCTCCCGCCAACCCCAAGGCTCCTGAGTGCGGCTCCTCTTGATCCCAGTCTCGTCTCTCAGCTGCCGCCCTCACCCCTGTGCCCTGTGGCTCATGAACTCAGTGTTGGCAGGAGGTGTCACCTCAGCTGAGATGCCCCCTCCCCTGACACTGGCAGTCACACCCTCCTCCTCTGGCTCTCATCAGTGACACATCTTCATTGTCACTCCCCAGAGTGCCTCTCTGTCCCCTGTCACTCAAGTCTGTCAGTACAGCTCCACCCCTCTCCTGCTTGTTCCTCGGTCTCACAGTTTTAAGCTCCAAATGGAGGGGGAGGGGGGAGGGGCATCTGTTTTCCCTCTCTGGATTCCCTGGGTGTGCAGGGTCCAGGCTGAGGGAGACTTCCTGTGTTCTGTGTGAACAGGATGGTAGTAGGAGTGGTGTCTTTTGAACTGGTGAGTGCTGCACCATGTGGGCAGGTGTGGGATCAGAGGGGGCAGGTGTGGGATCAGAGGGGGGCAGGTGTGGGATCAGAGGGGGCAGGTGTGGGATCAGAGGGGGCAGGTGTGGGATCAGAG